CCGTCACACCGCGGTAGAAGGTGTTCTTCACCAGGGGCACCACCCGGGTGACTGAGAAGATGAAGTCGGCCACCGCCAAGTTGAGGAACCAGACGCAGTTGATGGAGCGGCCGGCCCGGCGGGCTGTGAGCCAGATCACCAGCCCGTTGCCCAGCGAGCCCCCCACACAGACCACGGTGTAGAAGACGACCTGGACTAGGTCCATGACGGCGTTCAGGTCAGACTTGGCCTTGGCAGGAGAAGGACCAGGGCTGGTCAGCCAGAGACCGGAGGAGACATTGGCCTCCATGACGGGACCTGAGACAGAGAGAGAGATTGAGAGTGGGGGGAGGCCTGTCCCCAGAGCCTGCCAGTTCCCCGCGCTGGAGCCGGACCAGCACCGGTGCCCCCGAGAGGGGAGAGGCCCCATGCCCCATTCCCTGCCCCACTGAGCCAGCCAGTCCCCCACCCTAGAGCCCGATTTGGGCTGGTGTCCTCTAGAGGGGAAAAGCCCCATTCCCTGCCCCACTGAGCCAGCCAGTCCCTGCCCTGGGGCCAGTGCCCCCTAGCCAGGGAAGGGTTCACAGCAACCCTCTCTGGAGGTGGGGCCAGGTTTATTTGCATGGCCAGGCTGACCCCACGTCTTCCCCGCCTTCCTTTGTCCATCTCTGGGCTCCCAGCCACGCACTCCATGAGCGGTGGAGCTACCGGTGGCAGCCCGGGGGGGTACGTCTGGCTCCTTGCCAAGTGTCCCGAGCTGTGGGCGGACAGAGGGCACCGTGCCAACTTCCACACCTGGCTTTTACCACGGCCGCACCCCGCCCCCCGCCGCCTGGCACTGCGGCTGCTGCTGGGATGGTGCCTGTCAACCAGGAAAAGGGGAAATAACCCTGTGCAGGGCTTCTAGGACGCCTGGGTTCTCTCCCTGGCTCTGTGAGGGGAGAGGGAGCTAGTGGGGGGGGGTACTGTGAGCCAGGACTCCTGGGTTCTCTCCCTGGCTCTGTGAGGGGAGTGGGTGTGGGTGGGGGGTACTGGAAGCCAGGACTCCTGGGTTCTATGCGGCGCAGACCCAGCCCTCCCACTTATCCAGAACAGGGACATGGTCCAGACTCACCCCCACCCCCCGAAAGCTAGCAGAGCCCAACCATCGGCATAGCACAAGCAAGACAAATCTCAGCTCCCCCTCCCCCCCAGCCCTGTCCCAGTTTGCATCTGGAGCATCCTCGGAGGCCCCCCAGAACGGCACAACAGACCCCCCCCCCCACCGGTCTGTCTACACTGGGGGACAGCCAGACGCACCCTCACTTCGCTCCAGCCAGCGCTGAAAAATAGCCAAGAGTCGGGGGCACCCCCGCCCCCGCAGCCCCTGGCTCCCCCTGCTGCCTGGCCTGGGGCGGTCTGACCCCGATGGGGCAGCACTTGTCCAGCTGCAGGGCAGACACACACACACGGAGCTAGGGTGTTATAATGCACATGCCATGTCACAGCCGACACACAACGCGTGTGCACACACACAGAAAAACAGAGCGATTGTTATCACACACACACTGTCACAATCGACACACAACGTGTGCACACACACAGAAAAACACAGAGCGATTATCACACACACAGTGTCACAACCGACACACAACGTGTGCACACACACAGAAAAACAGAGTGATTGTTATCACACACACACTGTCACAATCGACACACAACGTGTGCACACACAGAAAAACACAGAGCGATTATCACACACACAGTGTCACAACCGACACACAACGTGTGCACACACACAGAAAAACAGAGTGATTGTTATCACACACACACTGTCACAATCGACACACAACGTGTGCACACACACAGAAAAACACAGAGCGATTGTTATAACACACACAGTGTCACAATCGACACACAATGCTCACACATGCGTGCACACAAACACACTGGTAGAGTGTTATAATGCATGCACCATGTCACAACTGACACAACGTGTGCACACACTCAAAACGGAGAACAATTGTTATAACACACACAAAAAGTCACAACTGACAAACATCGTGTGCACACACAGAGCTAGAATGTTATAACACACACAGTAACGACTGACACACACACAGAGCTAGAGTGTTATGCACACACAATCACAACACACAACACATGCACACACAACACACACGGAGCGATTGTTATAAGGCACACAGTCACAACTGACACACAACGTGTGCACCCCCCCCCCCGACAGAGATAGAATATTACGCCCCCCACCCCGCCCCTGCCCGTGTTCCCAGTCCAGCCATGGCAGGGGCTGTGTGGGGCCCAGCTGGCGTGACCACCCACCCCGTTACCTGGGGAGGCAGCGCCCGCCAGCCCCGTCCGCTTGTCGCTGGCTCTGAGATTATTTTCCAGGAACCCAGCGGCCGCCAGACGGTCACCCCCCCTGCCCCCCTCCCCGGGGTTGGGCCCCGGCCAGAGCGGACGTGCTGGGGGAGTGATGTGCTAAAAAGGAGAACTGGGGGCGGGGGGGGGGCACTGCCTGTTGCTGCCAGCATGGGGGCTGGCGGGGGGCATCAGGGCGGGAGCTGTGGGGTCAGGGCAGGGCCGGCAGCGGAGAACCCAGGTGTCCGGGTGGAGCAGGTGGAGACACAGGGCAGGGCTCGCTTAGAAGCCAGGTGAGACCAATTGTGAGGGGGAGGATTCCCACAATGCACAGGTGTCAGGCAGCGCCCAGCATGCACGGCAGCACCATGGCCAAGCGGGGAGGGGGGGAGGGGAGAGTTCCCAGCATTCACTGCTCCCCTTGGCATGGCAAGGCCTTAGGGCGCTGGGATGGTCTTGCCTGGTGGGCATCTTGTCATCCCCCAGCTGCCCCTCGCCCACCTCTGCCCTGGGCTTTCGCTTCTTCCCCAGCTGGTAGGACAGGAAGCCGGGTTCTTTTCCCCTGGTGAAAAACTCCCCGGGGGCCAGGGGCCTCGGTTCCCCTTTTCACATGTGAAACCGGAGGTGTCTTCTTCCTGCCACCTGCGAGCCAGACTGGAGCCCGGCCCGCCCGCCATGCCCAGGGAAAGAGACCCCCGGCTCCCTTTGCCCGCCCTGAGAGGGGAGTAGGGCTAGCCCCTCGTTCTGTGCCCCCGGGGCTCCCACCCCCAGAGGGAGCAATGCCCCCCGATCTCTAGCTGCAGGGAGTCTGCCAGCGTCACACAGGTTTATTGAACGTCTGGACCCAGCCCAGGCAGTTCTCAGGGCCCTCGGGCCTGGCCAGCTGGGTCTGTCCGGTCCCCATGGGTCCGGCTGTTCCTTGTCCCCAGCCCAGCCCCCTCCTTCCAGCCCAGCCCCCTAAATCCACTCCCCCACCAGCCCCACCTCTGTCCTCAGTCCCAGGTAAATAGGTCACCTGGGCCCCTCTCTTCCCTTCTTTGTCCCCCCCTGTCAGGTCCCCGGGCCCCTCTCTTCTCAGCCCATTGCCCCCTGCACTGCCTAGAACTGGCTGGCTCCCAAGGTGGGGGGCCTCCTGGTCACCAGTCGCTGGGTCCCCCATCTCCAGGCCATTGTCTGGGTCCTGACTGCTAGGCAACGTCACACCTGGTCCCCTGCAATTACAAACCCCCTCCCACCTCCTCGTTACACACACAGCACACAGGGAAACTGAGGCACACACCATGCTCGTGCAAAGCTCTAAGAAAATCCCTCACTTCATCACAAACACACACACACACACGTCACAACTGAGACACAACACATCAGCACACACACAGAAAGCTAGAGTTTTCTACCACACACGGAGTCACACAACGTGTGCACACCCCCGCCCCCCACGCACAGCGATTGAATATTACACCCCCTCCACCCCACCCCTGCCCGTGTTCCCAGTCCAGCCATGACAGGGGCTGTGTGGAGCCCAGGCTGGTGGGGCCCAGGGTGGCGTGGCCGCCTGGTCCATTATCTGGGGAGGCAGCGCCCACCGGTCCCGTCTGCTTGTCTCTGGCTCTGAGCTTATTTTCCAGGAACCCAGCGGCCGCCAGAGTGTCACCCGCCCCCTGGATTTGGCCCCCAACCAGAGCAGAACGTGTGAGGATGCACCAAAAAGGAGAACTGGGGGTGGGGGGCACTGCCTGTTGCTGCCAGCATGGGGGCCGGGGAGGGGGGGGCAGCAGGGCGGGAGCTGTGGGGTTAGGACAGGGCCAGCAGCGGAGAACCCAGGTGTCTGGGTGGAGCAAGTGGAGACAGCGGTGAGCTGGAGCCGGTTCGCACCAGTTCGCAAGAACCGTTTGTTAAATTTAGAAGCTGGTGTAGAAGCGGCTGTTAAAGGGGTGTGCGGGTGGGCAAACAACTCCAGTCCGCAGGCCACATCCAGCCCGCGGGACCGTCCTGTCCGGCCCGCCTGAGCTCCCAGTGGGGGAGGCTTCCCCGGTCCCTCTCCCGCTTCCCCCCCTCGCAGAGCGGCAGTGCACCGCACCGCCGGCGCCAGCGCTCTGGGCAGCTCTGCAGCTCCTGCCGCTCTGAGCGGGGGGCGGAGGGGAGCTGCGAGCTCCAGTGTCCGCGCGGCATCCCTACACGCTGCCCGGAGCAGCATAGTAAGGGGGCCGGGCCGGGGCTGGGAGGAGGGGTTGGATAAGGGGCAGGGAGTGGTTGGAGGGGGTGGAGGTTCTGGGGGGGCGGTCAGGGGACGGGGAACGGGGGGGTTGGATAGGCGTGGGAGTCTCGGGGGTCTGTCGGGGTGGTGGTGGATGGGGTCGGGGCAGTCAGGGGACGGGGAACGGGGAGGGTTGGGTAGGCGTGGGAGTCCCGGGGGTCTGTCGGGGTGGTTCTGGATGGGGTTGGGGCAGTCAGGGGACAGGGAGCGGGGCGAGATGGGTAGGGCGGAGGGTCCTGGGGGGCAGTTAGGGTGGGGGTGTCACAGAGTATGGGGGACTCAGGGCCCTGTACCCCCGGTGTCCTGCGATTCACCATGACTCTCAGCCAGCCAGTAAAGCAGAAGGTTTATTTAGACGACAGGAATACAGTCCAAGACAGGTCTTGCAGGCACAGACAACAGGATCCCCCCCTCAGTTGGGTCCATCTTGGGGTCTCAGGGCACCCCAGCCCCTTGGGAGGTCAGAGCCCCGTCTGCCTCCCAGCCCTTCCACCAGCCAGCTCTGAAACTCTCCCCCCAGCGACCCCTCCCACAGCCTTTGTTCAGTTTCCCAGCAAAGGTGTCACCTGGCCTCTAACCCCTTCCTGGGTTCTCATGATACAGTCGGTCAGTCTCCCATCCCCCAATGCAGACCATCCTAGCCACACTCCCCTGTCAGCATTCACAGACCACAGTAAGAACAGTCCCAGTTCCTCACATCTCTCCCCCCTTCGAGACCGAACTGAGCGGGGTCACTTCAGCCAGTGACCCGGGGAAGTTCGAACCTACCCCCATTCCCGGGGATGCCCCCGCATCCCTCCCATTCCTTGGTGAGAATTACACCAGGCCCCTCCAGGTTCACGCCCGCCCTTAAGTCGGGGTTGCTCGATGGCACTCGTAGTTCGCATGTGGGAAAGTTTATGCGGCCTGTGCCCTTTTCCCACCCCAATACCCCTGGGGTTCCAACTGGGCTGGGGTCTTCTCCCAGCGCTCCAGTCTGGAGGTTGGTGATTCAGAGCCCCCCTTTTAACCTTGGCCACCCTCTGGAAGGGCTCCTCTATGCTGGGCAAGGGTCCTAAAGCCATTTTCCCCTTGTTCCAGGCCTTCCTCCCTGTGACGAACTGGGACTGTTCTTACTGTGGTCTTTAGGGACTTGACTGGGAGGCAGACGGGGCTCTGACCTCCCAAGGTGGGCTAGGGTGTCCGGGCACCCCAAGATGGACCTAACTGCGGGGGGTCCTGTTGTCTGTGCCTGCAAGACCTGTCTTGGACTGTGTTCCTGTCGTCTGAATAAACCTTCTGCTTTACTGGCTGGCTGAGAGTCATGGTGAATCGCAGGAAGCCGGGGGTACAGGACCCTGAGTCCCCCATACTCTGTGACAGGGGGGTCTTGGGAGGGGGTGGTCAGGGGACAAGGAGCGGGGGGGTTGCTGGGTTGCGGGTTCTGAGGGGGGCGGTCGGGGGCAGGACATGGGTGGGGGTCGGATGGGGGTGACAGGCTGTTTTGGGAGGCACAGCCTTCCCACCCTGGCCCCCGATACAATTTTACAACCCCGATGTGCAGGGCCGGCTTTAGGGAGTGCGGGGCCCGCTTTGAACAGTTTTGACGGGGCCCCAGCAGGGATGACTTAAAAAACCACGTAAAAAACCACGTGGGGCTTGTACTCACTGGGTGGCGCGCCGAGTTTTTCGGCGGCACGTCCTTCACTCGCTCTGGGTCTTCAGCGGCACTGAAGGACCCGCCGCCGAAGACCCGGTAGGGAACCGGTTGTTAAGATTTTGGCAGCTCATCACTGGGTGGAGACACAGGGCAGGGCCGGCAGCGGAGAACCCAGGTGTCCGGGCGGAGCAGGCGCATACACAGGGCAGGGCTCACTTAGGAGCCAGGTGTGACCAACTGGGGAGGGGGAGCATTCCCAGCATGCACTGCTCCCCATTGCATGGCAAGACCTTAGGGCGCGGGGCTGGTCTTGGCTGGGGTGTCTTCTCTGCCTCAGTTCCCGGGGGGTGCTCGACCCCCGCTCCGCCCCAGGTCCCGCCCCCCACTGCACCCCTTCCCCCAAACCCCCTCCCCACCTCTTGCCACTCCCGCTCCATCCCAGGGCCCACCCCCACTGCACCTCTTCCCACCTCCGCTCTGCCCCAACTGCACCCCTTCCCCCACCCCCCATTCCACCTCTTCCCACCCCTACTCCACCCCTTCTCCCAAGCCGCGGTGGGCAGGAGGTGCTGGGAGTGAGGGGGAGGAGCTGATCTGTGGGGCTGCCGGTAGGTGCCGAACACCCACTATTTTTTTTCCATGGGTGCTCTGCCACCCCTCGCCCACCTCTGCCCTGGGCTTTCGCTTCCTCCCCAACCGGTGGGATGGGAAGTCGGGTTGCTTCATCCTCTGGTGAAAAACTCCCCTGGCCCCAGAGCAGGGGCCTCGGCTTCCCCTTTCCAGATCTGAAACCAGAGGTCTTCTGCCTCCCTGTGGCAACCAGGCCGGAGCCCATCCCATCCGCTATGCCTTGGGGAAGAGACCCCTGTGTAACGATGCGCTTCTGGCGGGACCCAACTGAGAGTGCCAATTCAGGACAAATTGCTCAAATAGGGCAGTTACAGCCCAAGGCTGGGGTCTTTCCACATCTAAGGCAAACCAAACTAGCCAGACAGTGAAGACTTTCGTCTCACCCACTGGCTAATCACAAGTCACACAAGCAATTCCCTCAGACACTCCACTTTCCCAGTATCACCACCAGTGCCACTCGTTATGGGGACGAATGGTTATGAAAACCAATACCCCAGTAAAAGAAAAAAGGTTCTCCCGATCCCAAAGGACCAAGCCCCAGACCCAGGTCAATATACAAGTCAGATCTTACCCACAAATCACGCTGTTGCCAATCCTTTACAATCTAAAATCTAAAGGTTTATTCATAAAAGGAAAAAGATACAGATGAGAGCTAGAATTGGTTAAATGGAATCAGGTACATACAGGAATGGCCAAGTTCTTGGTTCAGGCTTGTAGCAGAGAGAGAATAAACTGCAGGTTCAAATCAAGTCTCTGGAACATCCCCCGCTGGGATGGGTCATTCAATCCTCTGTGTAGAGCTTCCCTTTGTAGCAAAGTCCCTCCAGAGGTAAGAAGCAGGATTGAAGACAAGATGGAGACGAGGCATCAGCCTTTTTATAGTCTTTTCCAGGTGTAAGAACACCTCTTTGTTCCTACTGTGGAAAATTACAGCAAAATGGAGTCTGGAGTCACATGGGCCAGTCCCTGCATACTTTGCTGAGTTACAAGGCGTATCTGCCTTCTCTCAATGGGTCCATTGTATAGCTGATGGTCCTTAATGGGCCATCAAGCAGGCTAGGCAGAGCTAACACCAGTTTGTCTGGGATGTCTCTCAAAAGCATAGCATAAGTTTGAAATACAGACAGTTTAGAGCCAATATTCATAACTTCAACTACAAAATTGCTACACGCATATAGACAGCATAATCATAACCAGCCAACCATAATCTTGTCTTAGACACCTCATTTGACCCCCTTTATACAAGATTTGGTGCCACTACAGGACCTTGGTTGCAACCATGTTCTATATGGTCCCAGTTCAAATCAATAACGTGACACCCTGGCTCCCTTTGCCAGCCCTGGGAGGGGAGTAGGGCTAGTGGGTCAAAGTGGTGGGCTGGCAGCCAGGACTCCTGGGTTCTATACCAAGCTCTGAGAGGGGAGTGAGGTCTAGTGGTTAGAGCAGGGAGGGCTGGGAGCCAGGACTCCTGGGTTCTCTGCCCCGCTCTGGGAGGGGAATGGGGGGTCTAGTGGTTATGGCGCCTTTTTTGGGAGAGGCTATTGCCGAGACGGCGGAAGGATACAAAGCTCAGGGAGAGGACAGAGAAGTTCTGGCCTGTAACATAGAGCATGACTTTCAGGATGCTTATTGGAGGGACTATTTTTGCTGGCGTTCATCTGCCGGGGATAGGATACAAAGGAGATAAGGGGACGATCTCTACTTGTTCGGTGGACTGGACTACTTCTTTTGAGTGGAAGAGGACAGAAGGGGGCGTAATAAAGCCCAGCCCTTGTATTTAAAGGGCACAACTTTCCCATGTGCGTTTCAGGGACTATAGTTGTGGTGGAAGGCCACAAAACAGAGTGCAAGAAGATGACAAAGGAAGTAGTCCCGGTACCCGAATATGATGGAGCTTGATTTTCAGATTTTTAAGGGGCTATTTTACCTTTTGTTGTTTGGCGGAAGGACACACACAAGTAATGGAGGAACGTCACAGGGCTTCTGTTCGAAAAGGGCCTGGTTTTCAGCTATTATTTTTTTGAGGAACTATTTTTTTGGCAGAAGGACACACAATCAGTATCTATTGAAAGTAGATCCGGTTCCTGTATCAAAAGGGTCCAGTTTTGAGGGACTACTTTTGTGGTGGAAGGATACTCGGTAGCTGTCCTTTGAAAGTAGAGCCGGCTCCTGTGTAAAGTGGGCTGGATTCCCAGAATTCTTTTTTTTTTTTGGATGGACTACATTAATTGGTGGAAGGATACGGCAACCAATGGGGTGGTCAATGTAACAAAAGTAGATCTGAGCCGTCTGTATAAAAAAAGCCTGGTTTTAGGAATCACTCCACCCCGGTGTGAAAATCAGGCCCTAAAATGGTGGCCAGGTGGTGGTATCCATGGCAACCACCATGGCAACAGCCTTGTAATAGCCCCGCCCACCCTGTGGGGTGGCAGCCAGTGAGTATCACTGAGTTCCTGCAGCATTGGGGAAGGGGCGTGGCCTGTTATTGCTCCAGTGTGGCCAATGAGGGCAAGAGTTCCCAGCATGCTCCTCTGCAGTGTGACCCGTAAGCTCCCAGCATGCACTGCTCTGGCATGGCCCATGGGCTCCCAGCATGCACTGCTTCAGCATGGCCCATGCTGATGACGACAGCTCCCCACATGCACTGCTTCAGCATAGCTCATGGGCTCCCAGCATGCACTGTTCTGGCGAGGCTCTGGTGTCCCAGCATGCACTGCTTCAGTGTGGCCCATGGGCTCCCAGCATGAACTGCTCTGGTGAGGCCCTGGGCTCCCAGCATGTACTGCTCCAGCGCAGCCCAAGGAGATGATGACAGCTCCCAGCATGCATTGCTCCGCCATGTCCCATGGCCTCCCAGCATGCACTGCTCCAGCACAGCCCTGGGCTCCCAGGATGCACTGATCTGGTGCGGCTCTGGGCTCCCAGCATGCCCTGCTCGGTGCCCTCCCACAGCTGCCCCCCACCCCTCACGGGGCCCTGGCCCCTTCCCCCTGCCCCATCACGGCTGCATTATCCGCAGCTCGGAGGGCTGGTGGAGCCCAGCGAGCGGTTGCTCCGGCGCCCGCTGCTGGAGCCCATCGAGTCTTCGGCCATGGCGGCCTCCAGCCAGCGGGCGCGGCTGCTGCCCCGCAGCCCCTCCTGGAAGCGGCGGCCCAGGAAGGCGTAGAGCAGGGGGTTGAGGAAGCAGCCCAGGCAGGTGAGGCTGAAGGCCAGGGAGGAGCCCACCTTGAAGGCTGCACGATTGCTCGGCGACCTGTGCAGGAAGTTGAAGACGTGGTAGGGCAGCCAGCAGAAGAAGAAACTCAACACCACGGCAGCTACCACCTTGGCCGTACGGTTGGGCCGGCGGCCTCGGTGCCCGGCCCGCAGCATCACGACCACGTGGCAGGCCGTGATGACCAGCAGCGGTGCCAGGAAGCCGGCCACGAACCGCACCACGATCATGGCCTGCTGCCGCGCCATCCTCGTTGCCTCGTCCCCGAAATTGTTGATGCAGAAGCAGCGCTCGCCCCGGCAGGTCACCTGCCGGAAGACCAGGTAGGGGGCCGAGAAAGCCCCGGCCAGCAGCCACGCCACGGCGGCCGCCCCCCAAGCCAAGCGCGGCGTGCGGAACCGCTGGGCCCAGACGGGCCGGGCCACCAGGAGGCAGCAATCGGCCGAGATGAGCATCAGCTGGAAGACGCTGGTGAACATGCTGAGGAAGAGGAGGGAGTTGACGGCTTTGCAGAGGAAGTTGCCGAAGGCCCACTGATTGCCCGCGGCGGTCTTGGCGGCGTAGAAAGGCAGCAGCAGGGAGTAGAGCAGGTTGGCCAGCGCCAGGCTCAGGAACCAGATCGAGTTGACCGTCCGGCGCATGCGGAAGCAGGTGACCCAAATCACCAGGCTGTTGCCCACCATGCCCAGCAGGGAGGAGACCACGAAGATGGCCACCGAGAGCTGGTCGAGGACGTTGGAAGTGGGCATGGTGCTGTTGTTGGTCACGGGTAAGGTGACGTTGCCGGAAAGCTGGGGAGAAGTGACCGCTTTAGCATGTGGCCCGGCCAGTGCCCCTCACTCCCAACTAGGATTGCCAGGCGTCCGGTTTTCTCCCTGCCTGCCCCAGCGCCGCACGGCTCCCGGAAGCGACCTCCATATCCGCCTCCTAGGCGCAGGGGCTGCCAGGGGGACTCCGTGCGCTGCCCCTGCCCTGAGCGCCGGCTCTGCAGCTCCCATTGGCTGGAAACTGCGGCCAATGGGATCTGCGGGGGTGGTGCCTGCAGGAACCACGGCCAACGGGAGCTGCAGGGGAGGTGCCTGTGGGAGTGGGCAGTGCACACCGCACAGAGCCGCCTGGCCGTCCCTGCGCCTAGGAGCCGGACATGGCGGCTTCTTCCAGGAGTAGCGCGGAGCCGGGGCAGGCAGGGAGCGCTGCCGGCTGGGAATCACCTGAGGTAAGTGCCGCCTGGCCGGAGCCCGCACCCCGAACTCCTGCCCCAGCCCTGAGCCCCCTCCCGCACCCCAACTCCCTCCCAGGGCCCGCACTCCCTCCTGTACCCCAGCCCTGAGCCTCCTCTTGGAGCCCACAGCCAAATTCGCGCTTGGAATGTGCACCCCTCATCCCCCACCCCGAGCCCCGAGCTCCCTCCCGCACCCTAACTGTCTTCTGGAGCCTGCACCCTGCACTCCCTCCCTCTGCCCCAGCCCAGAGCCCCCTCCTGAACCTCAAACCCCTCATCCCCGGCCCCACCCTAGAGCCCACAGCCCCAGCTGGAGCCCGCAGCACAACCCCCTGCCCCAGCCCAGTGAAAGTGAGGGAGGGTGGGGGAGAGCAAGCAACGGACGGAGGGGGTGATGGAGTGTGGGGGGCGGGGCCTCAGGGAAGGGGCGGGCCCTCGGTAAAGGGGCGGGGCAGGGACAGGACTAGTTTGTTCGGTTTTGTGCAATCAGCACGTTGGCTACCCTACTGCTGACGACACACAGCCCCTCCTATCCCCCCCACCTCTGCCAGTGGCCCCCACTCCCGACCTCCAGCCCCTCCTATCCCTCCCACCTCTGCCAGTGCCCCCACTCCCG